AAAAAAAAAAAAAAAAAAAAAAAAGGGTTTCGAAGAGAACCAGCGAGGGGAGGAAGACGGAGTAGGGAGGAAAAGGAATGTCGAACACGTTTCGATTTGTTTCCTTTACGCCATGATATGGAAAATTGGAAGGCTCGAGGCTCGCACAGGGTGTGGGCCAGTTCAAGTGAAACCGGACACGTGTCTTGTTTTCATTGGAAGATAGTAGAAAGTCAGAATAGGTGTGAGAGCTCTGTAGATTAAAATATTATTTTCACACTCCCACTTATATATTTTTTTCAATGTCTAAATTTAATATGGTTAAATAATAATTATAACTAATAAAATAAATAAATTTTTCGATGACCAAAATAGTAATTTAGCTAATTTTATTTTTATATTTCTAAAAGAGCAATTTCATTGGATCCCATTAGATTTTGTGTGGTTTGACCTATTTGCCCCTCGTTTTATTGTCCTATTTTGAATTTTAAAACTTTAATAATTTAGGAAATAATAAATTACAACGAGAATTTTTAGCCGAATATAATATGGAAAGAAAATCATTAGCCACCTAACTTTGTAATTTTCCACGTGGAATTTAGCCATTTTGTTTTTAATATGATAAATGTGAGAGCATTAATTTGAACGTTTGGTTGTTTTGATCCGAGCTTGAAGTAAGTCATCAATTAACGTCTTTGAGATTTTTCGTGGGCGCACATGTCCCAACAAAACTTCGACGTGCCGAGCTGTTTTTCATCATGATTTACTAGCCCATCTCGTCTAGATCAAATCCTTTAGCTCGTGTCAAGCTTTGGTCAACTTACGGATGAGACAAGCTTCTTTAGTCAACCCTAATTTAATGGAAGTTCGATTTACACCATGAGATTGCCAGAGTCGTGTCCCATGATTAGGCAAATTCAAGTCTTGATTCGGACCTAAGAAAATAAATAAAAAATTAAATTTAGAAATCGGAAGTTTTGCTCACTTCGACGTTATTATCTGACAACTAAATTTATAAACTGGGAACGAAAGCCCAAAGTTTTATGCATTCCTGATTATAAGTAATGGTTTGACTACTCAGTTGATCGATTCGTTTCAAATTTGGCTCCTTACTTATTGCAGCGTCATACATAGGACATTGAGACAACGACAGTCGACCAGTATCAACTAAATCTAAAAACTGGGAACGAAAACCAGGTCGGGTCTTTTGCATTCCTAGTTAAAAGTAATCGTTTGACTATTCATTTGATCAATTTGTTTCAAATTTGGCTTCTTACTTATATTCTAGCGTTATACAAAGAACTTTAAGACAACGACTGTAGCAACCGAAGTCCACCGAGCATTTGTAACAATCCAAGCCCACTGCTAGCAGATATTGTCGGCTTCGGTCTGTTACGTGTCGTTGTTAGCCTCACAGTGTCAAAACGTGTCTGTTAGGAATATGTTTCCACACTTTTATAAGAAATGTTTCATTCTCTTATCCAACCGATATGGGATCTAACGACGATAGCCGATTAGTGACACAATGACGAGCACGGAACAATGATAGAAAACGAGAATGAATTTAAAATTTGTTACCACGACTTGTGAGGTCAAAATAGTCAAATTACTAAAATGTTTTTTTTTTCTTTTTTCATTTTAATTTCGCATAAAAGTTATCCAAACGCACACAGCGAATAGAAACCCCAAAATGGCTTGGCAGAGTCTCTATCTTCCTCCGCCGGTAAAATCCGTTTTCTCGATGAATTGCATTACCTCCGCCATTGAGTTGCCTGTTCTCCGATCTCATTTCAAGCCAAATCGCCGGCAACGAAAGCAGAACAACTCACAATCTCAGCCACGAATTTACATTTCTCCACAAAGCAACCGATTCGCTTCACTAACAGCCAACGCAATTCCAAACTCTCTAGTTCTCGCAAACAGTACTATTCCTCCGTCGCAGTCCGGCGACGTATCGGTCCTCCTCCAGACAAGGTGCGCTACTTTCTCATTCTTTTAGATTCGAAAATCGAGCCAATCTGAGATTAATCTCCTCAATTTCTGTTTTCTTTTGGCAATCTGTGTAGCGGCGTGCTTCTGATCGTGTATTTGATAGCGAATTTCATTGTGCCGGAGTTCATTATGAAATCGTACAGTACCGATGAGAGCGAGGGGAAAGCATTGATGGAAGACGATGAAAAAGGCGCCAGTGAAAGGAGGAAGAAACAAGGCTTTGGCGGTAACAAGAGATAGCGAAAATTGAAGGTAAAGCCATTGAACTTTTTTCGTGTTCTGTACAGAAATTGCAATTTTCTTTGCTTTTTTTCGGTGCTTTTGTGTGGTGAAGGTGAATTCAGGATTGTGTTGCTGAGAATAGAGATTTGGAATCGGATTCTCTGTGATTTTCTTTTGCCATTTGATTGAAAAAGGAAATTCTTGTTGTTTGTTTGAAAATATTGTAAGATCACTTCTGAGAAATGGAATCTGGTAATGAATGAAGTTTTAGATTATTCGTTTATCACTGAACAATGTTAAAAAAAATCATCCACTCATGCACATAAAATCGATCATAAAATTCTTCAATGACTAATCATAAGACTCGAGGCTCTAAAACTTTGAACATCTAATGAAACAATTCATGTCAAGGATTTTAACCAGAATTTTGAATATTGATTTGAATTCTAGGTAGGGTCCAGAATTTTGAATATTGATTTGAATTCTAGGTAGGGTCGTTACTAATGGTATTAGAACAGTACGACGTGGTTCGAAAACGAACAAAGACGAAAGTTGGTGGGCATATGACACCCAATTAGAAGAGGGTACATGAATGAACAAAGACGAAAGTTGGTGGACATATGACACCCAATTAGAAGAGGGTACATGAATGAACCTAGACTATATTCAAATGAGAGTGATTACGAGGATGAAATGGTTAAGAAATGCCTAAAAAAAATTAAAAGTTACTTGTACCAATCACGGACACTTTCTTTTTTGGTGGTTCAAACATAAGAATTTCATAGCTAAGTGCACTTGAAATTTTTCTATGATGTATATGAGTGAAGACAAAACATGCTGGGAGGACTCGTGTTGGTTTGTGGGGACAATCTTCACGCTTAAAAGAGAAAAGCAGGATCCAAATCATGGGGACGGATTGTTACATCTAAAGTTATTGTAGATAAGTTGAAGGCATTTGAAGTGTAAAGATTTCAAGATTTCGATAAATTCTTTAATAATGATCACCAAGCCAAAGACGTATCCAGTAATATCAATAGGCTAGAGATTGATCCATCAATCAACAAGCTGGCTCGAGTACAAGCTGTCGGGATATTTATACAACATTGTACTTCACCCTATCAAATCAATATAAAGATAAGTTCACTTTACGTGTTACATTTCTTTATTATAATTACATGTGAATGATACGAGCTATTGCATAACTATACCAAAACTCAAATATGAAAATAAAAAAACTAATTATATTTAATTAAGATCATGGAAAGACTTTTATTAACAATGTTTTAAATAAAAATTATAAAAATATTTTAAGTAAGAAAGCAACTATTACTCTACATTTTTGTTTATTCATTACTCGGTACTATTCAAGAACTTAAAAAACAAAAATCACTATTAGACGATCTAATTCCAAAGAAATGGAAGATAACACAACTAAAGGAGAGGAAGGGAATTGAGCTCGGGCTAAGAAAGGCCTATTCCTTTAAGGGAATATGCGTCATACACGCTCTCAACTCATGGCCTCTTTGGTTATGTTCTATTCTATTCATTTGAATTATGACCTAATTCGTAAGAAACATAGAAAAACCCTACGTTTTGCTTGAAAGAAAACTCTTTCTCGTTCTCTAATGCACTCAAATTTCTTTGACCTACATGGCAGACATCACATCAGTGTACAGTCTTCTTATAGGTTACATCTTTCCCTATTAAACAAATTTATCATTGTTATCACACGAAAGTCAAATGGGTTTTCTTTTGTCCACGACAACAATAGGTTAATATCTTTAATTTTTCGTTTTGCTAATTTTAATATTTGATCATCTAAAGAACTATACACATATCACTATCATCATTTGTGCATTATAAGCTTTGCTTATTTTTTTAGTTCAATAAATTATAAGATGGGAATCAAACAACCAACCTTTTCGATAACAATCGATAATTTACTATAAAATTATACTCAAATCGGTAAACGAACATCAAAAATTGGTTCGTCCATTCGAATTTTAGTTCGAAAGAAGTAAAACATGAAAGTTCCCTCTTTCTTATACCAATTTTAGAATCTACGACTGTTGATGTGTTCTGTTTGTTGGTTAGATTTTGTAATAGATGATCACATGAGAAATTGTTGAAGCCATGTGCATAGTTTCTTGTGGAAGCCATGGGCACAATACCAAAACCAATAATTTATATTACTCTTTTATGCTCAATCATGTAAGTTAGAGCACGTCGACTTGTCCAACAAACTACTTACTATGGAAACTTCAAAACGTGACAGAATAGTGTGTTTCGTACTCTAAATCATAATAAAAATTGGTATGATCGAAATCGGCTAAAAACTCAACGAAAATAGACCAAACTAGTTGAATTGAAGCATACCAGTTCAGTTGGATTGGACCAGCCGGATCGGATTGAACCGGATTGATTGCTCGTCCCTTAATTCATAGTGAGCGTTCACATGGTTTTTTTGTTTCCCTTTTCGACAACTGATGAGCGCATGGTTTCCTCCTTGATAAACTTTGTACTTTATGATAGAGGGTAAACGATGCTGCATCAACAACATTTTGAGGTTGAAGTAATGAAAATAACTTAAAGTTGAGGTAAGATTTGAGTATTGGATTGAACTAGCCGGTCAATTGGTTGTCCCTTACTTCACAATGAGTTTCTTCTCTTTTCGACAGCCAACGAGCGTACGATCTCCTCCTCGATAAACTATGCACTTTATATCAAAGGGTGAACGATACTGCATCAACAACATTTCGAGGTTAAACGAACAAAATAACTAAAAAATTAAGGTAAGATTTGAGCACTCACTCTCGCAAGCGTGCGAAGTGATATTGGAGGCGAATACGAGACCGACCACGACCAATTAACGACTAGGAACAAACAAAGATGCTTGAATGGTTGTAAATCTAAGAATGACATAGCAATGGAATCCAATAGAAGAAAAAAGAGTGAATTGTGTATAAGCAACTAAACTTCAACTTGATCGATGAGAATACTCGAAAATGTCTACTAGCTGTGAAACCCTTTTGAAATATAAGGTTGAAGACGACGGGCAACAAGATTCTATACAAGTTGTTGTCGATTAGTGAGACGTTGGTCAACGATTTCGCCACCTCGATTATAATAACAACAACAATATTATTATTATCAGTTTTCCATGTTCTTTTTTTCTTTTTTAATTTTTCAATATTACATGAAACATATGCGATACATCATAATTGAACATGAACTATTTAGATGGTCTAAGATCTAACCTCAACTGCAAACTTTGAGCTCAGAAGACCTCATTACAGAAGACAATTTCACTCGTACCGTCTTCTCCAACAACTCCTCGAAGCGATCCTCGTTGCAACCTCTGATGTTCATGATTTTCAGTTGAGAACGAAGGACCAAAACACGGTATGGATGCAAGTTCTCGAATATCGCTGGATCCCGATCAAAATCCTGGGAAGATATAAGTTTTCAGATACAAATTCCACTCTAACGAAAGGTCAAGTCCGGGAGATGACACGGGTTCTAACTTCTAAGATAAAATTTTGAACCCAAAACCTTGAAAGATTACAAGGGAGGACTGACAGGCATCACAATCATGCATAACTTAGCAAGATGTGTATTGTTTGTACTCACCTTTTCTGTAACAACAATGACTGGTTTAGAGGCAAGCGTCTTCTCCAATTCCTCAAGCTTTATTTTAATCAATGCCATATCCTATATGATTTGAAAATAGACAGTTGAGGCGTCAACAATACGAATCGAAGGTGGCGAAAAAGGTCGAGAGAAATAATTCGATTTATACATTTCTAGTTTGCAAGACCTGGATTATATGTGTAAACGCCACTATGTCTATAGGATATTGTATGAGACATGACAGACATGCAGTAGAAAAATAGTTACCCTGTCTTGAAACATGTGATGGTCGGTGAAGTCGAGTCGATCAACATGATATGCTCCTATCTGCAGGGAACGATTTTCCAATTACCAATGAAAACATTAGGTACAAAATGGATAAGACGATTGAAATGCTAATGCAAACAACAGAAAACATTGGTCAAGCTACGATCTTCTTGAACGCATAAAAACAAAGTCAAAAGTAATGAGAAGATGGAAACGAAAAATGGATAAGACGATTGAAATGCTAATGCGAACAACAGAAAACATCGATCAAGCTACGATCTTCTTGAACACATCAAAACAAAGCCAAAAGTAACGAGAAGATGGAAACGAAACGAATTGTTGCGATACCTTCTGCATTGTCTGCACAAAAGCATCAGCAGAGCCAATGGCAGAAACACATAATACAACTCTGTTAGATAATGTTCTCAAAGATATTCTGGAATTGATATTTGTAACTTCAAAGAAGAATGAAGGAGCCATTTCGGTAAACACCACAGTAAGCGAATCCTTAATTTTCCGCAACGTTATAATGATATCTTCGATTCTTTGTGCTGAAATCTGTGGTTTCAAGGATAAATTTCAAGTTTACATAGATTCAGACTTTATAACAGGCAGTTAGATCTTCCTGAAGAAGCTGCCAGCAGCCATATGCGATAAAAGTTCGATCCACGTTCTTTACCAGATTAGCATGATGAACAATGGCAACGTCTGCCTTCTCGAGTGCAGCCAATGGTTCTCTTAAAGGTCCAAGTGGTAATAATTGCCCATTTCCCCACAGTGTTATCCCATTGAACATAACAATCTCCAAGTCATGGTGCAAACTCCAGTGCTGAATTCCATGAACAATATTAAGCTATCACAGTCAAAAATCTGTAGCAAAAAATCCATTTCCAAAGTCTCTAAACAACAAAACCTAGTAAAAAATCAGAATCAACGAGGCTTGTGAGTTCCTGATAACCTATTCATACCACTGGTTCTATCCGTCGCCCTTTTACAAATCTCGTGCATGAGATCCCCAGTAAAAGCATCATTAACAACTAAGAGTTAGATGATTATGTACCTGCATTCCATCATCAAGAATAATAGCACCAATTTTTTCGGACTTCGGAAGATTTCTCGCTTGTTCTAAACAATGCTTCTCAGTCAATGTGCTACTCCGAGATCCAACGTAACCATATTTGTTAAAATACCAAGCAGCAGTCGCTCTCCTATCTGCTCCAATACCTACTTTAACGAGACTCCCAGCAAGATGCCTCCTAAGCATTTTAGCTTCATCCCCACCAGCATAGCCCTGGCAGGCATCAACCCAGCAGGATTCATGATTTCCATCTTAATTTTTAGAATACCATAAAGTTATGGACAATTAACAAACAAATAATTCTTGAAGCACCACCAAAACTAAATTTCCAGCTTACTTCAAGCATCAAAATCAATATTTCAAGCAGCAAAATCGAGCTTTGGCACACATCCATCAGTACTGAAATTGTGAAATGTGGAAAAGAAAATCATGTTATCTTCAAATTGAGTTACCCTATTAAGAATTAGAGGTGAAATCCCAGAGCTCGCAAGCCATAAGGCAATGAACTCGACCATTGGTGTTTTCCCATTGCCTCCCCAAGTCAAATTCCCAACACTAATAACTGGCACTGGCAACCTTCATATCAACATACAGAAAACGTAAAAACACCAAAACGAAATAAAAATTACAAGAAATATCAATAACTAAAGAATGAAGATTAACACAATCCAGTGCATCAATTTCCAACTTCCCTTCGCTATTACGAAACAAATCGCGCAAAAACACATTAACCAGCACAAGCAACTCACTCATACTCCCAAATTTTCAAAAACCAGATTCAAACCTTTCAATGCGGCTAAAAACCGACCATAAAACAACATCTAGACCAGGAATTGATCTTAAGTTCAGAAGAAATTGCGTCCAATGATAGTCGTGAACAGTTCAAAATAGGTTCTATACCGATGCTTGGAACATATGCCGTAGAGGTAGAAATGGTGACGAAGGGACAGACCGAGCTTGTAGAGAGAAGACGCCATGTAGAGAAAGGGGATGAGGGACCGTTGCAGAGAAGAGAGCTTAGCGTGGTCCCTGCTGTAGGCGATTTCGATCACCGACTTCTTCAGCTTCTCCATGGATGAAGACCGAAGGAGCAAATGCTACCGTGATTTTAGTATAATTTTTATTATTAAAAAAAAAAAAAAAAAAAAAACTCTAAAATAAAATAGAAAACCAAACAATAATTTTAGTATTTAATATTTTAAAAGTGTTTCAATTATGTCTATTTAATTTAAAGGTTTTAAAATTATTTAACGATTTGTTAAATTTTTTAATACTTTAAATTTATTATGCATAATTAAAAAATTTAAAATCTCATAGAGACTAAATTATAATTATAAAAATAGTCTACGATTAGTACTCAAATATAGGGGTTTACATAGTCTGAGTTGAGTTGGAGGATTTTTTTTTTTTTACCCAGTCTAAAAGTTCGGGTTGGTTTGATTGGTAACCAACCAATCCAACACCAACCTTTTCAAAACGGAACCCAACCTTCTATTTTCGGGTTGAGTAGGGTTGGATTGTCAATGTTTTTTAAAGTTTTATTTATCGACCATTTATAATTATTCGGATATAATATTTGATAAAATATATTAAAAGTTCGCAAACAAACACTAATCAATCTATAATTATCGACAAAAAAAAAATCAATAAAAAACAACGAGCGAAAATTGTAACATACTAATAAAGTTCAATATTGTCATAAAACTAAAGACAACTAAATACCGACCTTTTTTATTAAAGTAACCAAAATATAAAAATAGATGGTGAAATTAAATAAAACAATAAAAATGATGGGTTGAAAATAAGTTTAAAGATATTTTTGAAAATTAAAAAAAATTAAAAAGGTATTAATCAAAATTTTTAAATACATTCATTTTTTAAACAAAATATTAATAATACTTATCTAAATTAATGTTAATGTTATTATTGATTTTTTTTAATAGTAATTTAATTAAATTATAATTTATAAATCCACCAGGGCCACACGTAGCACCAATCAAATTTTCATCGATGGTCGCTCCGATCGCCGCGTGGCTTCATCAGAGCCGTTGACACGATACAAAACAAACTAGAATCTGACTGCAATTTTAAAGAACAGCCACGTGGCAGACGAAGTAAAACAGAAGGTAGAAGGTTGTAAAATGACGGAAATGTCCTGTCCGGCAGACGTGTAAAATAATATATCATACAGTGGGTTGGACTGGGTCCCACTGTCGCTTTCGCAAACAATTTTTGAAAACTACCTCTCACTCGCCTAGGTTACGCGTGGGTTTCACGTTAAAAATTGGAAGGAATTAAAAAACAATATTTTAAACAGTTTTTTCTGTAATTAATCTAATTTAGTTTAATAATTACGATTAAATGGAAAAATAGTAATAACAGCAATAAAAAATTATAACCTTCTCCCTTAAAAATTAAATGAATTAATATTAATATCGTGTCCATTATTATAAATTTAGTAACAAAATAAAAAATAGATAGATAATAAATAATAATTAAAATATATATTTATATTTAAATTAATTACTCAATATCATTAAAAGGTGAAATAAACCCATTAATAATTATTCATATTATTGCAGCTACCTCAGCTGAGCATATTTGTTCAAGATTGAGGGTATATTAGTCATTGCGGTTGTTGTACGCGGACCGAACATAGTATTTTCGTTATTAATTGAATTATTAGTTGATTTACATGAATTAAAAATTTCACTTACTTACCACGAAGAACGGCTTAAAATTTATTAAAATTAGGAATGTACATAGATTGAGTTAGGTTGGGTTCGGTGGTAAGTCTTTTATATTAACCCAAAGTTTATACTTGGTTGGATTAATGACCCGAACAACCCAAATAAAATTTTCAATCCTCTATTTTGTAGTTGGGTTACCACGGTTTGTTACTTATCTACGATGTATGTTACATTAATGACTAAAAATTCATAAGATTCAAATATCAAATATTTACAAATCACAACACATTCCTAACATCGGTTACAAATGTCGAATATTTTAATTTTTATAATAATCTTAAAAGTAGGTGGGATTGAGCTGTAACCTTTTTTTTTTTTGTTGAAAAAATGTGAACTTTGTAACCGATCCAAAATTTTAATTATTTAAAAATTCAACCAGACCCATAATTCAAGTTGATCGAATTATTGGGTCATCTATGTTGGATGATGAAAGTCTCACGTTGGCTAATTTAGGGAATGATCGTGAGTTTATAATCAAAAGATACTTCCTCCATTGAAATGAGGCATTTTGGGGAAGCACAAGGTAGAGCCACGAGAGCTTATGTTCAAAGTGGACAATCATACCATTGTGGAGAGTCGTGTTCATCTAACATGGTTAGTCGTGCCAATAGATTATAAATTCTCAAATGTCGAACAAGGGACTGGGAAAGAAAATTAGTACTTGTGATTGCCAAATATTCATGACTAAATTTTGACTTTATTTATTTAGATACTAAATTTATAATTTAACTTTGGATAATTATTATTTTTGTATCTTAATTCACGCGCTATAAGCGCGTAGGCTATAAAAGTGAGAGAGAAATGACGTAGAACCACGGGCAGGAGCAAAAGCAACACGGAAGGTGAAGCGGGCAGGGAATCGGGTAGCGGGCAGCACTACACGCCGTCTTACAAGAGCATCGTTTTTACGCAGGAGGGTTAAAACAGGAAAAGTGGATGAAATTTTAATCCCGAAGGGTGGTCAGAGCCATAGGTTCGGAAAACGAGGCTGCAGTTGTGGTTAGGTTCGGACCTCACAGATGCCTCGCGAAAAAGCCAAACAGCATCGAAAATAATGTACCGAAGAAAAGGAGTGAGAGAGAGAGAGAGAGAGAGAGGGAGTGAATTCTAGAGAGAGAAAGTCTCGTAGTGAGAGAAAAAGGGATGGGTCAGATCGTGAAGAGGAAGAAGAAAGGGAGACCATCGAAGGCAGATCTGGCACGGCGGTCCGGTGGAGGACTGACATCATCGGAATCTGAACCGCGACGGAGCCTCCGCAGCCGGAATGTGCGGTACAACATCGATTACGACGATTTTCTTGAAGAAGACGACGAGGATGAGGAAGAGAACGAGAGAAGAAGAGAGAAGAAGCTCAAGCTTGTTGTGAAGCTGAACCAGAGCAGAGACGGAGAGCATCTGTCGCCGGTGGCCAGACTTTCTAGGTCAGGAGCGCGTGGAGAGGACGCGGCGGAGTACGGTTCGTCGGCGTCGGAAGGGGAAGATGAACCAGAGAGGAAGCCATTGAAGAAGAGGAGGATTGGCGGAGGTGAAGAAGAGGATGAAGATGAAGATGGAGATGAAAATGAAGATGATGACATTGATGAGGTACTTGAATACAAACAAGATTGATGAACAAGAGAGGCATGAGGGCAGAAAGATCACTGAGATGTTTACGCCATTGGCCCAGACTTCAAAATTAGTGTTACCTCTTTTCCATTTCTCAAGCATCCGTTTCACTCTCTCTCTCTCTAGGTCTTTGGAGAGGTTTTAAGGATTTTGGGGTCAACTGTCAAAAACTAACACCCCTACAGAATCTGATCACGCTCTCCCACCTTTCTCTCTCCACCACTCACTCACTCACATATCATTCTCTCTCTTTCCTTGTTGTCTGCCTTATCTGTCTCTGTTTCTGTCTCTTTCTCGACTTGTTTATCACTCGTGCTGTATTGCGAATTTATGAGTTTGTTTATATGCCCTTTTATTTGACACAATGGGTTTTGACAGGAAAGGGGAAGGAAGGTGGGCTCGAAGGGGTCCGACTCTGTTCCAGGTTTGTGTTCTTTTCAATTCAATTTGTGATTCTAGTTTGCAGGTTTATTCCAATTTTGTCTTCTTTTGATCTTTGAGATTAGTATTTGATTTGGGTTTGTTTAATTTGTGGTGTTCCTTTGATCAGGGACTCCCTCAGATCGATCATCCGGGTTGCCATTACCTGATAAGAAGACATTGGAGTTGATTCTTGACAAACTTCAGAAGTACGGGGGGGAATTGAATCTCTTTTTCTTTTTGATTTTGTTATGATGTGAAATTCCAAGTTCTTAGAATTAAAATATCTGAAATGATGGCAGGAAGGATACTTATGGTGTCTATGCTGAACCAGTTGATCCTGAAGAGGTCTGCAATTTCCCCCTCTTTAAGTGGTTGTTTCAAGTGTTCTTCGGCATCCAAATTTGAAATAATGTTTGTTATTGTAGCTTCCTGACTATCACGATGTCATTGAGCATCCTATGGACTTTGCTACCGTTAGGAACAAGTTGGCTAACGGATCATATTCAACTTTGGAGCAGTTTGAGGTGGGTGTCCAATTCTTTGGTTGAAGAATTTTCTTCGACATGCACGTGCCTTTAAGGTTATCCATTTGTGTCCTGGCTTTTCCAAGCCTTTGATGATCCAACGGTCAATTAGAGCTGTGGAATGCCGCTTAATTGGGGGCTGACTAAGCGACAAACATGATGCCACGAAGGATTCATCCCTTCATTGGACGTGTTAATGTGCCTGACAGTCCTATGTTTCTTGTCTCCTTTTGGGGTGGGGGTTGGAACAGTTGTCAGAATATCATTGCTTTGTACGTTAATGGCTGATCTTTTCTCTTTTCTTTCTTACTCTTCTCCTTTTCTTTTTATTTTTTTTTATCATGGATTGGGGCCGGGGGTGGGGGTGGCGTGTGCCTTTAAGTTTCCTAGCCTAACATGTAAAACCACCATTGATTGCTCCATGGATCTTTGGTTTTCTATGGTTGATGATAACATGCTGCTAATCTTCCAACCAGCTGAATTTCATCTAATCTTTAATGCGTATATCTAGATTTCAATTCTGAATGTTTTTAAGCGTTGGCTCATCCAGTGGAGCTTAGAAACTCATTTGGTTGTACTCTTTTAGGCCTATTGAAGTTTCCATACTCCTCTTGTAGGATTACCCTTCACCCCGGATGAAGTTTATGTATGTTTTTCATACATATAGTTTAGTCTCAAATAGAACTGTGTCTCTGCATTCCAACATTCTTCGCCAAGTTTAATAGCAGCTTCTTCCATTCATGGAAAGAAGTCAAAATGATTCTGCTATGTCTAAACTTTTGGAGTTCTTGAAACTTGGAATGGAGGACTTTTGACAATGGGAAGACACTGGATGAGGAAACTTGGGATTTAGGTTGTTCCAAGCGTGGTTGACTAGTCAATCTCAGGAACTTTATAGCCACTCTCTTCCTCTCACTCATTTATGTAAATTAATTGAATCTTCTGGCTTGTTGGTTTTCAGTTGGGTTTCCTTTCCTTTCACTCTGTGTATATATTGTCCATCAAAGTATCAGTGCTTTGCCACTTCTGCCCTTGCGTGCTGAATATATTCTGTAGTTTTGCTATTTGGGTCAGTGAAGGTTCATTCCTTTTGATGTACTGATTTTGTTTTGAGAATAATGCTGGATGAAGGGGTTATTATATTTTGTTAATTGTTGAGCGTCTCGGATGCAGCGTGACGTATTTCTGATATGCTCAAATGCAATGCAATACAATTCACCAGAAACCATTTATCACAAACAGGTATAGTTATTCTGATGTTTCAAATTTCTTTATTTTGTGTCTTCTGAATTAGTTAACATACTTGGTTTTGTAAAGGCACGTTCCATTCAAGAGCTTGCCAAGAAGAAATTTGAGAGGGTAAGAAGTGAAGTTGAACGCTCGGAGAAAGAGTTGAAGTTGGAGCAGAGTACAAAATTCAATTCATACATCAAGAAACAACCACCAAAGAAACCCTTTTTCAGGACTTTTCAGGAACCCATTGGATCTGATTTTTCCTCAGGTGCAACACTTGCTGGCACAGGCGATGTACAGAACAGTTCCAATCCAATCCATGGTGCTCACCGTGAGGTTCCTAACAATATTGATGGGCAAGTAGAGGGTAGTTCCTCCTTCCTTGATACTACTAATCTGGACAGGGCTGAAGAGCTCTTCTCAGGTATTCTCCAATGATTCTGCTTGATTCCTGATAACTCTGCAAGCAAGTTATTTGGGGGACGTCGAAATCAGTTTTTTTTTACTGACTTTTACAGGAAAGGGTCTTCTAGGTAAATTAGGGAGAAAGACATCTGTGTTTGATGACAACCGTCGTGCAACTTACAATATTTCTAATTCACCAGCGCCAAGATCGGAGTCGATATTTTCAACCTTTGAGGATGAAATAAGACAGCTTGTTGCGGTATTGTCACAAAGAAACTGGTCTCTGCAGTCACTTTTGAGTGGTCTTATCCTGTGGTTTTCACATTTTCCCTTTCCTTTCTTTTATGGAAATTAGGTTGGACTTCATGCGGAGAATTCCTATGCAAGGAGTCTGGCTCGATTTGCTGCGACACTCGGTCCTAGTGCGTGGAAAGTTGCATCCCAGAGGATTCAGCAGGCTGTACCTGTTGGATGTAAATTTGGCCGTGGTTGGGTTGGAGAATACGAGCCACTTCCAACACCAGTATTATTGTTTGAGAACAACAACCAGAAGGAACTTGGTTTTAATAATAACTTGCATTCTACCAGCGAATTAAGAAAGAAGGATGGAAAGCCTTCAGACACTCCTTTGCCAAAGAAGGAATGTCCTCTAAGTGCACCAAGTACAGAGGTGAATGGTCTCGCTAGAGGATCCACCTTAGATGGGAAACCATCTTTCTTTAGGTCCTCCACCCCAAGTCCCGGTCTATCGCCACGGAAAAACCGACAGACCAAGAATTTTACAGAGGGAGAGAAGGTTAAAAACCAAGTTGAGTTAAATTCCTTGCCCTCATTTAAACAAAATAATGTTGATCTCGGTGTAGAGAAGCAGCTTCCAGCCAATCTGAATATGACTACTTCTAGATCTAGAGATGTTTCGTCGGTAAACTTGAATCTTGTGCAATCTGCGACATATAAACTCCCCAGTGTTAATGGCGTGGTGGCCGGAGGATTGTCTAACGGTAAATTCCCGATCAATTGTTTGAATAGTCCACGGGCTGCTGTATCGTCTCCTAGCTTGCCTTCTCAAACAGCTCCAGTGGCAACTTCCCATGGACAGGACCTACACCCCAGTAAGCCGGTACAATTGATGAGAATGATGATACCTGAAAGAGCCCCAAAACAAGAGAACTCATCCAATCAATCTTCATCTGATTCTCTGCCAGCTTTATCATCAGCTCCTTCTGTAATGAGAGACGATTCTAATAATGCTGCTGCAGTAGCTTCTCGTGCATGGATGTCCATTGGGGCTGGAGGGTTTAAACAAGTCAGAGATAATTCCACACCTAAAAGTCAAATCTCTGCAGATTCACTGTATAATCCAGCTCGAGAATTTCATCCACAAATGACACGAGCATGGGGCGAGTTTCGTGCTGGAGGCAATCAGCTTCAGTCTGAGAAGAGTAATTTCCCTATGCAGGCATTTGTTCCACAAGCCACTCTTGTAGCAAATGAACAACAGCTGCAAAACCGGTCCATGATTTACCCTCAGCTAGTTCAGGCCGACATGTCTAAGTTCCAGTTGCAGTCGACTTGGCAAGCTCTCAGCCCACATAACCAGCCAAGGAAGAAACACGAAATGCTTCCTCCCGACTTGAATATTGGTTTTCATTCTCCTGGGTCTCCCGTGAAACAATCCTCTAGTGTTCTGGTTGACTCCCAGCAGCCAGACCTGGCTTTGCAACTTTAACTGAAGGCTAGTTTTGCAAACAAGATTCATATTAGTAACCTGCAACCTTTGGGGATGAAACCGAGACAACTTTTCCTCTATGTTGCACCAAATTACAAGAACAAACAATTTATCGGTATGACACAGATGATTGCATTCAGCACAAACTCGAAAATCCCGAGGTTGGAGAATTCATCCTGATTTATGTATTAGGAATGAGGAATATCCACATCAGGAAGCAATATCCACCAGCAGGATGTGGGATGGTTCTGTTGCAGTCGAGGAACGGATTTTAGCAGACAATATATATTATTTTTCGAGTTCTCCTCCTACTGTAGAGAATGGATCACTCCACTGCCCTGCTGAGAGTCCCAGACACAGACACATTCCTAAATATCAGGTACCCCACCACCATAAAAAATGACGAAAAAAAGAAAAAAGAAAATGATTTTCTTTGTGTCAATTGCTTTGAAAGTGCTGAGAAAGTTGCTATCTGAGAAATTATTGAGGATAAAAATTCTATTTTTGGGTTGTAGAATAGTCACAGGTGGATTGATGAGCTATAGATCTCTGTAATTACTTGGATAAAATCCCACTTTGGTTCTGCTGCTGCTGCTTTGATTGATACATCCAAGATTTACGTACCAATGGCATAGTGCTGTAAGTAACTACTGTATTCCAGTTTGCTCCAATGAGATGATCTTGATTGTTGATTGGCTCACCATGTTCTTCGTAAATGTTTGCATTTGTCATTTATTCTTAGATACAAAGAATTATGCACCTTTTCTGAACTGAGTAGATGCTTTAGAAAGACGGGAGAAATCTTGATTGATTCTGGATGAAATTTGCCTTTTGCCTTTTGATTTTTAATTTATTTTTTAAATCGAGTAGGTGGAGGTTGGAATTCATAGTATTGATCGTGTTAGAACAAACACGACTCTTCACAATGGTATGATATTATCCACTTTGAGCATAAGCTCTCGTGACTTTACTTTAGGCTTTTCCAAAAGGCCTCGTACAAAGATAGTATTTTTTTTTTATTATAAACCCATGATTATTCTCTAAATTAGCTGACGTGGGACTTTCATCATCCAACAGACTGTTCGTCAAAGATATAATATCTTAATCAATTGTGTCCCATTGACACCTTTTGATATTTCTATTTTTATTTGTTAAGATTATTTTTTATTAAATAACAGACACTTTGGTTATTGGCATTTGAGCTTCGTTTTTGTTTCGTCTCCGAGTTATTTCTAAATGCTTCATGAATAGATAGAACGTCTTAATCCGTCATAAATATTCTTTGCTAATGTTTATTGTTTATGGAAGAATCAATTTTATTAAAAAGGAATTATTTTTCTATAATTATTTTTTTAAAATTTTATAAGTTTAACGGCGTCTCATACACACTTAAATTAAATATACGAGATAGAAGAAAATAGGAATCGTCGAGCAACTGATCACGAGGGAGAAGGGAGGAAAATAAAAACGTCGGGGTCTTTTAAAAAATATAAAAGATTAATTAAAAAACATTCTTACTTTTCCCTTTTCATTTCCTTTTCTTATATATTTCTTATCTTAATTTTAGAATTATTAATTGAATTTCAAGATTTTTTTAAATTAAATTCATTTTTTAAGATCAGTTTCATCTGATCAACTTGAGTACAACTCAACTAGTTAGTCAAGATATTTACTCTCGATCAACAAGTCAAAGTTGAACCGAGTTGTTTTGTTCTTGTAATATTGATTTTTCTTATTGTGATTGGTTGATATGTTTTTTTTACGAGTTTTTTACATCTTGGTGAGAATGAATTTTTTACGAGTTTGATTTTGTGGCTAGGTTGAGATTAATGCATTTTTGTGATTTGATTTTGAGAGCGGACGGCTTTAGAATTTTTTTATTTTATTTTTATTTTTATTTTTTATCATAAAGTCTTGTAATTAACGTTTTATTATTTAATTATTTAATTTGTAATTTATATTATCAATTACATGTAAATACAAAGTCATTAGCGTAATCTTGAACACTATGAAGTTAACATTAGAAGGGACCATTTAAAGAAATAATCTAAGGGGTCTATAGTTTCAAGAAATAATCTTTCGAAGATAGTGTATGTGTTGACATTGCGACCTCGTCTATGTGTTGAAGGTTGGAATTTGCACTCGCTATCTGGAATGGATGCCGTAAACGACTTATCATGGACATGAGATGATCCAATGCTATGATAGAACTGAGTGGATGGATGTTCAGGATGTTATGACTGAAACATAGGTCTGTTCTCGATAGTATATCTAAGCGAGCCAATGACATCTTGAGACTTGGGATGACATCTGATATGTGGGCTATATTGTTGGGAACCAAGATGACAAGATAGAATGTGACCAGCATGCATGTGAGAGACTTAGGACCAAGTAGAGGCAAGTTCGAGACTGATGACTTGACTAAGTTGGTTAAGTCACAGATGATTGAACATGCATACATGACGACGTGATGTGTTCGGTTGGCGAAGACGAACCTTGCAAAAGGTCTGACAAAGCTACAAACACGGAAAAAAATGTATATGAGGTTTGAGTTTTCCTCAAGGTTTGTCGTGGGCGTATCAAGATCATGACGTCATATGACTAAAAATGTACGACAATAAAACGAGAGAATAAAATGGAAAGTTGGATGAGGACGGTGACATGCACGTGATCTAAGTATGGTCCGAGGTTGGTAGTTGCCACACAATTTGCAAAAGTCAAGCCTTACAACTTTGACTAACTTTTTTTTTTTTTTTTTTTTTTCCATTTTCTATTAAAAAGATCTCATCTTATTGGTTTTAATTTTTAACCATTATAATAATTTTTTCAAAAAAAAGTTTATTATTATTATTATTATTATATTAAATATTTATCTTTATACTTTTAGCAACTTCCCTTTAAAATATTAATTTTCGATCTTTATCTTATTATTAAACCTATCAAAAACATCCTTTACGTTTTAAATTTATAAATTATAGAGTTGTCAGAAGAAAACTCGATTACCTATTTCATTTGACGTTCTCGAGTGGGGGCCAGTCCAATTTAACCGACTTTTAGATAATAAGGAGGCGAGTTGATCCGCTTTAATCTAGGAAAAACCCTAGTAAGCCACCAACTCGATGCAAGTCACGTGACCTACTGCTCGACCTTTGCTCCACATCTCTACTCGTAACATTTCCATATGAAAAAAGATAGGTTTACCATGTTTCATCAATAGCACCTAATCTATACCGATTTAGACTAAATTAATAATAATAAAAAAGTACTTTTAATTTTTTATGTTGTGAGTTTTTTTAAAAATATTATTAAAATTTGTGATTATTAAATATTGTTTAAACATATTTTTATTAATTTCAGTACAAATTATAAGAAACATTTATGTACAGTTGATTTGATTTGAAGAACTAACAACACTAAATTATCACGAACCGAAATGGAAATGGAAATGAAGAAAAGTTATTCACAGAGAGATTGATGATAAGTGCAAATGGAATGTCACAGTGATTCCAGAAATCCAGTTTTGGTAAGAACAGCATTCCTTACTTTACTCAGATCTCTCCCTTTCAATGTTCTTCCGACTCCTTCCAACACAGAGAACGACGAAATCTGTGCCCTAACTAACCTTTTTGCAATCAATTCATGCGGCGGAACTCTCTCCTCAAATCCTTCCTCCTCTTCCTCCTCCTCCTCCTCGCTCTCATCGGCAACTCCGTCGTCGCAATCGAATTTCCATGGCGTTTCACTTCCGTTAGGTTTAAACCACCGCGGAATCGATCGAGGAGCCGATTTTGGAGCAATCCGAGCATTGCCTCTGCCGTTCAACCTCGGAATCATTCCGGAAGCGGAAACGGATTCAGAAATGGACGAATCGGCGAAGAAATTCAAATCATCGGAGGAATTTGAAGCCGTTATCGATTTCTCCTCGAGAACGTTCCACACGTCTTCTTCTTCGAAATCGCCGTTTCTGAAAGACCGCCACAGAGCGCTGCTCTGCATTCTCAGGCCGTTTTCACCGCCGTACATGGCTAGAGAGAGAGGAATTTGAGATGAATCCATGGAATCTCAAGGTTTTGGGAGAATCCGTAATGAATTTGAAGAGAAGATTGCAGTGATTTTTAAAGAAGAAGAAGAAGAAGAAGAAGAAGAAAGAGACGGCTCTATCGTTTGTGGTAAAAGATGTGAAGACGACGTCGTTTTCATTGGTTTTGTTTGTTTTAAATGAAATAGGAAGATGCGTGTGACAACCAAAGTCTTGAGAGAATTAACATCATTTCATTTATTATATGCTTTTATTTTTTTCCCTTCTAAACCTTATTCTTAATTTCATTTCTACTTTTGACCATGATTTTACCAATTGAGGTTTTGCTTACTTTATTTATTGTATATATTTACTTTCACGTTTTTTTATCCTTCGTATTTTTTTACTACTGATTTAGTTTTGTAACCATACTTGATAGATATAACGTGTCGTGTCGGGTTGACTACCATCTTCTATGGGATCGAGCTAGCCTTGTGACTCGGGTTGGGATGTTAGTAAGGAAAAATTGAATTTTCAACTTTGAGTGGAAAAGTACCAATCTGATACCATTTGTGACGTCGCATGTCCAAGTTTTAGATCAGGATTTGAAATCAAGATGCAACATTTGTTGACCTCGGTATTCTCCTGTTAGTATACTTTGTTCTTACTCACGTGTTTTTTTGAAGAATTTTCAAAAGGTCACTCAATATAAAATTGTTCCGAGCTAAGCATGTTAAGTTTGGAGTTTCTATAATTGAGCCACGGAAAAAGAACGTGCATATTGTTAGTATAGGAAGTAATTTCAATTCTTTTTGAGTTTTTTTTTCTCTATTATCCTAACCTTAAAATCACTCTCGTTCATGTGTGCATTCGGTTTATTCATGTATCTCTCCTTACTTTTAAGGGAAATTAAGCCCTATATATATATATATATATATATATATATATATTCCCCCTGGTTTTCTGGCTTTCTCGGACCTTAGGTAAGGTTTATCTTCGCCAATCGAACATCATTTGTGCGAAATCCAAGCTTGTTCGATAACACTCGTTACCTGCATGTGCATGTTTAATTGTCTGCGACACATCCGACTAACCTCTACGCTAGGCCAAGTCATTTAGCTCGACCTTGCTTCTACTCGGGTCCAAGGTCTCTCAATACAACGTCACGTCTCTTCTTATCATCTCGATCCCCATCAACATGGTCCATATGTCTTGACGCCATCCTGAGTCTTGGTGTGTCGTTGCCCATCATAACTCTCTCGGTCATACCATCGAGAATGAGCCCTTGTGTCGCTCATCTCATCCAGACATCCCGAACATCCATTCATCCAAGTTTACTATATACTCATTGATTTATATCATTGATTTCGAAAATTTCATGACATTCATACAAATAACATTCTATAGTTTACTATATACTTCATACTTCTTAATTAAAAAAATAATAATTTCACACGTTTATCAAATAATCATTATTAAATACACAGCCTTTTAAAAATATGATAAATATTAGAATTAAAAAAAGAAAAAAAGTGGATCTTGTGAGGCTAAGTCAAAGTTGACGGGTAGAACTCTACCAGATAATTAGTAAAGGAAAATAATAAATATATATATATATATATATATTTTGTTGTTGTTAAATTAGTAAAATAAATTATGTAAAAAAATATATTAATAAACTTTTAAAAATTTTAATAATACTCTCGTCTTGTTTTATAAATACCTTTAAAATTTTAAATATTCTATTTTTTTTTAAGATCGTTAAAAAATAACATTAATTATTTAAAAAAATCCATAAAATTTAAAAAGTAAAATAAACATGTTTTACTTATATATATATGTATATATATATAAAAAAAGTTAATTTCAATATATTGATTGACATAAATGCTTTCCAAAGTTTTAATATTTTTTTTTAGTATTTTTGAAACATAGTATTTGTAAAAAAGTTTAAAAAGTATAAATAATTTTTTATTATAAAAAAATAGGTATTTTTTAAATATTTTCAAAATAAAAAAATGTATTTTTCTTTAAAGAAAGTGTTATAAAAAATATTTTTAAAGTTTTTAAAAACGAATCTTTTAAGAGTATTTTTTTATACCAAATATAAAGTTTAAAAGTATTTTAATTAATTAATTAATTTTTTTTTATATATCTCATTAATAAACTCAACTTTAAAATATTTATTTATTGATTGAAAATAAATAAATAAATAAATAAATAAATGTGTAATGATTGGACAAAAGATTCCTTCATTATTCTTTATTGTCGTTTAGTTAGCTGAAGCTGGCGGCCGACAAAAGCTTATACCGTACGGATTCTGAAAAGCCGTCATAATAATCTTAATTTTTGTTTTTTAATCAATTTATTAATTTAGTAACTTAATTTCTTTAGTTTAATAATAGTAAGTTAAATTAATAAAAATATATCTAGATTAAAATTACTAAAATTACTTTTAAATAAATAATTAATAATGAAAAAAAAAAACATAAAATGACATTTTTTTCAGACTGAAGTAGAGGGCCGACCTTAATTATTTGTTTCAAATCGTGCAATTAAAAGCCATTTTTTTGGGCTTTTTTTTATTATTTTTTAAAAGTTAAATAATTTGCTCACAAAATTGCAAATAATTTATAAAGTTAAAATATTAGTCAGAAAAAGCCACATTTATTGTACTATTTTTGTTTTTTTTTAAAAAAAAAAATTATTTTAAAAAAAGGAATATATAATTGTATTAGATAATTTTTGTTTTTTTTTTGTTTTTTTTAAGATTTTAAACTAAAAATCTATAAAATCATTTCTTAAGCTTAAAATGTTCAATCTTATTATGTATTTATTAGTCAAAAATGAAAAAAAAAATGCTTTAATAACTTAGACTATTTGATTCTTATTCGTATTTTAATTTTTTGTTTTTACTTTATAAATTTGTTAATCGAGAAGATTAATATTACTTTATAAATCTGTTAATTGAGAAGATTAATATTTCATTATATGCAACTCGATTTTAATCCTAAGTGAGTTATGAACTCCTGCCTTAGGTAGGGACTAACCAAATAGAGAGTTAGAAACATAATATCATGAGATATATAATATCTATTAACAATGAGCTTGGGCGATTACAATAGATTACGTATTCAAATCAGCAATTTCTAACCTATCTAGAGAATATTTTAGGTAATATTCTCGTAGAGTAATAATAATAATTATTATTTTTATTAATTTTCAATAAAGTTAGAATATTGAGGAGAAGATATAGAAACTTATACCCTTTTGTGAATAATTTCATATATACCAAACAACCCATCTTTGGAAAAAAGAGTAAACAAATTAAGAATGAGTATTCTACTTATGTTCACCGGGAACCAAATAGAAGTACTTTCCATAAACTTTGAACCGGGAACCATATTCGGTCGTTCATGTACTTCTAGAGTCGATCATAATCGAGTTTCTAAATTCCAAAATACAATGTGAAACTCGTTTTCATTTGGCTCATCTTCGTAGCAAAACCAGGCCACAGACTTACTCGTTTTCAAGGTAAAGCTCATACCTTGTTCCCTATCTCAAACGATATACACGCAAACGCCATTCTCGAGCATAGGCGAGCTAGATGAATCTTTATCAGTCTTGAAAAACTGTGTTGTACATAGGATTTTATCTCACAATCTTATATAAGTAAGGCATTGTATGTTCTGAATAATGAAAACGTAAAGAGAAACAGTAGAAGCTATGTGTGACTCTGCAAAGTTTTACTTGCTTTAGAGGCCAAGGCCAGTGCCTTGGCTCTTGTACTCGTTGTCATCCACTCCCTCTCCGCACGTCTTTGATGTTGCCTCGCATTTTTAGCTCGTTTAGGAGCTAAGCGAGTGTCCCTTTCCAGGAATGCAAGCCTGAATTTTTCAGCCAAAGACAATTCTGAGGAATTCAATGGAGGAACTGGAGCCCTCGACGTGCATCTAGCCACTGCCCATGTTTTGGGGTCGATATCGACAATGGCGTGTTCATCCAACGCGATATTTGGCAATGCTTCCCTTGGAACTCGCCTCCCACTGAAAGCAAACGGTGATGGCTTCGGATTAACTGTGATGCGTGGGCACTCTGTGGAGAACATCTCCAAGGAATTTTCGTCTATTTTTGGCTGCAGATTGTAAAAAAGAGAGCAGGAATGATCAGAATTGGTAGGGACTCTTTAAGAATGCAAAATTAGTATGACCTATTTGACAACCATAGAATTAGGCTTTCTAGAGGACTGTAAGATCAGAGAAGTGGTCTCTTCTGTTTCCTCGTTTTCGTGTCTTAGATCTTTCTAAAAACGTTCTTATAATCGGAATCCGATGATGAAATTGTTTATGTATCTAAGGAAAGCAGGAAAGATAATGAAAACAAATCAACTTGAGGGTAGAAGGTACCCTACCCAGACCAACCACCGAAGTGATTGTGCCCCATTAGCAATTTCAGCTGTATCAAGATCCTCCCATGAATCTCCTTCTATATCATCCAGCCTTGGTTTAAATATATCCAAGCACCTTCGTGCCGTATCATCACTCCTCGGGCACCCTCTGCAACATTTTTGTTCATACCCTGTTATGAGGTTATGTTACTCCTAGTCAAAATACAATGTATATATATATATATCTAGAGAGAGAGAGCCACAATGACAGAATGATGCAACAAAAACAGTAAATCAACGAACTTGTGTTTGAATCGTTAACTAAATAAAGACTACGTTCCACAGGCAGTCGAAAAGGTATCGATCGACCAGATGAATTTGGAAAATTTGTTATTTGCTCAAGTTTTATGTACAAGAGGTGGTTAAAGCTTTCCATGGAGATACTTCGAAGGATAACTGGAAGTGATAGCAACTTCTTGGCAGTAAACTACCAATATTATATATTTCAATAGTATCAGTGGTGAGGAAATAGGCGAGTACCCGCAACGAAGTGTCTCCAAAGAGCAACAATGCTGGACGAGCTCAGAAATACCAGCAGCTGTAATCTTGTTGCATCGACTGCATTAAAACTCTTCTTAATGAAAAAATAAAGAACTTAAATTATCCAGCTATGCTATTGAACAACAGAGAATAAAATAAATAAATAAATAAATAAAAAAGAGAAGAAATTCATCAATGAC